ACCACAACTTGTAGTTAGGAGAGCAAGATGTGGGTGCTCAAGACCACAACTTGTAGTTAGGAGAGCAAGATGTGGGTGCTCAAGACCACAACTTGTATTTCTTTGGATAATTTTATTTGATTTTTTAAAATTTCTTCACGTAAGACTGGCGAACGAAAGTTAAGACTGACAGATAGATGGTGTATCCCCACCGCAATGTTGGTCCTACTTCCATAGTGACCTCCAAAACCAAGGGAACATTTTATATCCTACATTATAGCCTGTACCCTGGGGATCCTTTTAATTTATCAGCTTTTTCAACTTTGTTTTTTTCTTTACAGCCACAACTTATTTCCTTTATTAAGGTCTCTAAATTTATTTTTGATGAATTATGAATTTTTTATAGACATGTTTTCCTTGTGTGTTTGGTTTCATATATAATGTTTACCAATCTCCACTGCAACATATATTTATTTGCGCGTGAAACTACATAAAAAGGAAAACATTATACAATTTAAACACACTTGGTTGTGGAATTTTTCATCTTCATCTGTTCATTTTTCTGGAAATCCAAATCTATATATGTCCAGCTGGTTTAGAACGAACAAAGCACCATCCAGATTGACTTCTGAGTAAACAAAAAAACAAGAAGCCTTGACATTTCGCTCAACCACTGCACGTCAGTTATCTAAAAACCAATATTTTACTTTTTTCCGCAATGTAAACATCCGAGCTATCTTAGGATCAGAGAGTTCATGAGGTTTCCAACTCATTTTTTATGTTTGTATTTTTAAACTATTAGTAATAATGCCTATTTTATAATTAATATCTGAATAATTCGGACTCAACATCTGTGAAGACATTCGTTCTGTCTGTGGTAGAGTGGAATCATTAGAACGACCAGTTCAGTAAGTACTTTGTTAAGTACTATCCGCACAGAGTTTCATCTTTTGAATCGAACGTATTTAAACTTCATTTAAAACTTACCAAATATGACTACATTCCGAAAGTTTATCGATTAATCTCTACACAGAAATGCATGAACGATTCTCTTTCCATATATGCCTCTCGTTGGATATACGGTTAGCTTCAGACTTATAAAACTAAACGAAAAACTCGGGATTGAATTCCGACGGTAGATATGGCGTACGTAGTCCACTGTGTATCTTTGCGCAAAACCAACCAAACGAATATTACGATAAAAATTATTTAGAATAAGATTGTGTTCGCTTTCCGTTGGCTTAGCGGTAAGATTGAAAACTAAAGTTTGGGGTTCTATGTCAGTGGAGAGCTCATCACATATAGTATATTGTCAAGCACCCCTTTAACTCCACGATGACTCACCAGTAAGGATATATAGGTTTGTAACGCTAATATTCGGGGCTCGATCCCAGTGGTAGTCACAGCTTAGTCAGCCCATTGAGCAGTTTTGTGAGAGAAGCTAACGATATTTGACCTAAGATGGCTCAATAGTAGGCTTTAGGGATTTTAACTCTAAAATTAAGTGTTCTACCCTTAAGGAGAACACAGGGGAATTAACTGATTCTGCAGCTTTGCACCCAAACAAACGATACTTTATAGTCGCACGTAGCCTAGTAGTTAACGTGCCAAGGCTCTTAATTCTAGAATTAAAGGCTCTTGACTCGCTACTACAAAAGCACACCAGGCACACTGGAGCCATGGGTTTGCTATAAGAGTACCGAACAAATCCCACTTTTCAAGCAGATAAAAAGCCAAAGAAAGAGTTGGTAACAAGCGTTTTAAATATCTGACTTCTCTTTAGTATACTATTTCAAAACTAGGGAGCGCTATGATAGGTAACCCTTGTATAGTTTTTAGCAAATTTCTTGACCAAGCGAATCTAACAAAAAGTTTCCATCTATACTTTTAACATACAATCTACAGCTTTCATTCCAAAATGAAACACACAACTAACATATTAAAATATTAACGTACACCGATGGGTCAACGGTATGTTTACAGATTTTCAAGTCTAAAATTTGGAGTTGAATTCTACCCAAGATGGAGAGAGCGCAGATAGCTTATTGTGTCGTTTTGTGTCCCAACAACCACACAATATATGAAAAATGTCTTATTATCATATTACCCTTAGAAAGCGCACACGAAATACCTTCCAAGATGCTATAATTTTTACATAAATCTGAAAAACATTTTCATATCATCGCTTCGTATGTCGCGTAATATCATCAAATGATGAAGTAATATTGTTGAACTTGAAATACAGTTTTTCTTTCGTATGCAAATTTGTATTGATAAGGGAATGAACATATAACAATGCACGGAGTTTGGTAGAAGTAATATCTTTATTCCATTTTTAAAAGCGAAAATAGGAACTCCGGGTGCAAACATCTTTCTACCATAAAAGAATCGAAGGATATTAGAGAAAAAATATCTTCGTAACTGACATTTAGCTCTGTTAGTGATACTTGAAATACTCTACGTTTGAACTGTTTCTTGGCTCTCTAAATAGCTCTCAAGAATATATCCAATTTCCTAAAGAAAAATAATCTTGTATCAATAAAATATAAACTTCTGTTGAGTGATAATTTTAAGGACCTGGTGTGGCCTAGGGGTTCGCGTGAAGCTGAGTGATTCGCGGCCTATTCACAAGAACACACGTGCCGCAGTTTGTAATGTGAGAGTAAAAACAAACTATTCGGTCAGACAAGAACAGCCCAAGGATTGGCGGTGGGGGCTAATGGATAATAACCTCCCCTTTAGTATATCTGTTAAAGTTAAGGGACGACTGTCTGCAGTATTTTAACTGAAAATATTTTAAAGAACCTCAGTATAAGAAATGAATTCTTTTGAGAGTTTTTATTGTTGTTGTTTACATATTTTCCGTTAAAATGCGGAACTTTGTAAACGTTTGGGGAAATATTCTGCCCGTACGTTATGATTTTATTACTTTAAATAACGTTAATAATATAAATATCTTATATTTAATGTAGAATTTAAGATCGTATGTGTCTCTATTGTTTATTTGTTTGTTTGTTATTACGCACAAAGCTACACAATGAGTTATCAGTGCTCTGCTTGCTACAGGTATCGAAACCTAATTTTTAGCATTATAAGCCTCGTACTTGACACTGAGGGCCGTCTCAATTCGATTTTATTTTTTGTTTGTTATTAAGCTCAAAGTTATACAGTAGCTATCTTTATTGTATCTATTACAGGTATAAATACCTGGTTTTTAGCGTTATAAGCCTTCAGACTTACCGCTGAGCCGCTGAGGGGTATTGTTTCGAAGAATATAAGTGTAAATAAAATCTAAATTCTGAATGCAGCTTCTAATTAAGATTTTTAAGAGTATTCTAAGCCAATCAATCGTCTTTCTTTTCTTTTATTGTTATAAAATGTTTAGCTTCATTTCGTACTGGTAAAAACAAAACTGATTAGTTGTTGTATGAAGAGTTCTTGTCTTTTCATTTACAATTATCAACAAAATAACTTGAAAGTAAACTTGATAGACCACACTCCACAGTTCGGGGCCATGGATACAGTATAAGGGCAAGTAAGTATTCGTTCAGACAAGAGCTTGTGGTGAGTGATGTTGACTGGTTGCCTTTCCACTAGTCTTCCAGTTCTAAATTAGAAACGGGTAGTGCAGGTAGTTCTTGTTTATCTTTGCACTAATATCCGAAATAAAGAAACAGATGTTTTGTTCAGGGTATATAGGTAAAGATGTGCTACCGAAACGTTGGGAAATAAAGGTTTATTTCATCTGAAGTCAAAGGTCATACAATTACTTAAGCATGTCAAAACACTTCACCCTACAACAGGATCCGAAAAAGTACCGCATTTCATTCTTAATTTAATCAGCTGGTGTAATTATGTTTTTAGATTTTTGCTGTCCACAGTAAATATATATATAAGATTTGAATAATAACATTAGTGCTACAATTTACAATTCTAAATTATTCAGCAGACAAGCTGTTTAAGGTTCTAGAAATAAATGTGAAGCCTCCTATGTCCTTCGATTCGCCACCTAATCACTGAGTTATAACGGTTTCGGAAAATTTCACCCCTCATGAATAACCCTGGACAAAAGCAAATTTTAAAAAATAACGCTAAGATTCTTATAGTGGTAGACTGTGTATTATAAATGTGATGACTTTTACTCACTGTTGATTTGAAGAATACGTAGCATTTATGCTACCAATTTATTCTTCTGAATTATTCAGAGGACAAACTGATTAAAGACATTCTTATTTTCAATTTTTTTAAACATAACTTAACTTTTTTATCTTGCATTTTAAAAAAGAAGATATCTGAGCATGTAAAATAAGACACGTATGGAAAAAGACTATCACAGTTGGAATTAAAAAAACAAACTTATAACGTTCTGGTACTTTGTAAAGAAAACAAAGAATTTTCAAAGGAAAAGTCTCTAGTAAAGGCCTATTATAAAACTCAATATGATAATAAAAGCCTGTAGGAAGAAAGTGACGTTGTCAAACTTTTAAAGATTCTTTTTCAGTTGCATTTAAAAGGTTTATATATCAGATAAATCAATGAAATCACTTCAGCATAATTTTCAGTAAAACAATAAAACCCTTAGAATATCACCATATTGTGCTTTACAGCACGAGTTACCAAATAATTTTATCCTCACCACTAATTTTTCCATTAAGCTGTTTTCTATAAAAGAGAACACTCGAAGATTCCACTAATCATCCATACATAAACAAAGTTTGCTTTAATATGGATACTTCTCGAGGCCGAAGAGTGGTCTGCTTGCCAACTTATTGGTTACTATCTTTTTCTTCTCATATTTGCTTGGGAGATAACAATCTAAGAGGAAATTAGATGTGGTCGAACAATTGTTAGACTCAACAATTAAGTGTGGTTGAACATTGGTTTGACTCAACAATTAGGTACTGTTGAACAATGGTTTGACAAGCTGGCTCAGCAGTATTAATAATTTAACCTTATTTACAGAAAACTGTAAAGAAATTGAATTTCATTATTACTCAATATTATCACGAAATGAATCAAATACTCAAAAATTATAAGGAAATACAATCACATTAGTACCACATGAGGGGCTGTTAGAGTGTAAGGACGAAGGTGTTAGTTTGTTTGTTTGCTATTAAGCACAAAACTGCACAATGGACTATCTGTGTTCTGCTCACAAAAGGTATCGAAACCTGATTTTTAGCGTTATAAACATTTAGACTTACCTCTGAGCAACCAGAAAAGCAAGGTCAGAAAAAAAAACTATGTTCTTGGATTTTAGTTTTTATAATTAGATCCAGTTTGATATCCTTTTTAATTTCTTATAAATATTTTAATTAGTTTCGAGTTATCTTGAAATTATAATAATGAACTAGTATTAATTTACTTAATTTGTACAATTTTATATTAAATGACTATTATGACTAAACTATGCTTACATTTGTTTGCCTGTTACTATAGTGTTGAGCTGATAAGATATGTAGTAAATGAGTACTCCTATTCGTTATTGTTAAGACAATAATGTGTGAGTAAAAGAAATAGAACAACCTTAGTGTGATTCTATAAATATGTCAGTATTTATTAGCACCTTTAACGTGTCACAAGTGTAAGAAAGCAAGGTTGTTTGGGTGAATTTTCCATGTTATACTACTATCCCAGCGGTGCTGCATCCCCTTGATAACGATGTAAAACCGAAATGTTGAGAAATAAAGTTTTATTTCATATGAAGTCAAAGGTCGTTAAATTATGCTTCAGCTAGCATTACCGTAACTACACCTCCCCCCCTCCAAAAAAAAAGTCAGTTCGACATTAAGTTGAATGGACTGATGATTTAGTGCTAACCTTTCTTGTAACGTGCAGAGGTTTGTGACAGAACCTACAGACTGTCCGTGTTATTCCAATTTTAAAAACAAATAGACACAGTGGCAAGAAGCAGCTTGATTCTAATTCTAATACACACAAACACGCACACATATATATATATTAAGATAACAAGGGACCTATTGGTACAGCTAGGTTGTCCTATATATTAAACTAAACTTCAAAATAAGAATAGAACTCTCAAAGTTATCAATAACATATTCATCAAACCTTCTCTTAAACTCACTTAAAATTACTGCCTCCACGACATCCGAAGGTAAGTCACATGAAAGGCTAACCACCCTGTTAGAAAAATAAAACTGTTTTAACTGAAGATGATTCTTATTCTGACACAACTTATATTTGCGTACCCAAGTCCTACTACTCTCACCATTGAATAGAAAAAAATATGATGCATCATTACTATCAATTTCCTTAACAAACTTAAACATTTCAATCAGATCTTCTTTAACCCTTTTTTTCAAGGAAACATTTCAGACATCTTAACATATCCTCGTACGACAACCTTTTGATCACAGGTATCATCCTAGTAGCCCTCTTCTGAACTTATTTTAACAATTTAATATCCATCCTAAGGTAAAAAGCCCAAGGTTGAAAACAGTACACTAAATGTGACCTAACCAATGAGCTATACAATGACATTATAACCTCTTTAGACTTGTATTCATTATTTATGGAGAAACAACCTAAAATTCTATTTGTCCTGGCTCTAGCAACGGCGCATTGCTTAGGTGGCTTAATAGACTGATCAACCAGAATACCAATATCCTTTTCTTTCATAACACTGTTAAGGTTGTTCCCATCAAAATTATACAAATGAAAGAAAGATACCCTGCATGCATTATCTTGCATTTATATAAAACTAAGTTTTCAAGCCAAGCCCTCATAGAAAGAAGGGCAAACAAGCTTAAAAATATAAAATGTTTCTCGAAATATTTTTACAAGCGTGAAACGTAAGAGTATTTATATAATTAGGTGAAAAAACAAAACAATAAAAAACATTTCTTAACAAATGATCTATTGTTTTCAAGATAACTGGGTCTCAGAAATCATTTAAAGAACAACCAATACTACTGTACTTTGTATGCTGTTAATTTGTTTTCGTTACAGGAGAAATATGTACTGAATATTCCATACTTGTGTTTTTGATGTTTTATATCTGGTTAAGAAACTGTTATATATAAATCCAGCTTGACATGTATATTGTGAACAGTACTATAATTTTTCGTATATACAAAAATAAACAATTTAACTAACAGTAAAAAAACTACGATGTATTTCCTGGAGACATTTTATTTGTGTTTTAAATGGCTAACCAAACTCACCGAGTTAAATATGATTTGTTTTTGAAGCAATATTAGTTACGACAACTGAACAGTTACATGTTTTAGTAATGATAAACATAGCGCTTTACGTGAAATAAAATAAACATATCTGATGTCAAATACAATTTACCGTTTATAGGGTGTACGAAAAGTAGGTTACTAGGAATGAATTTCTGTACACGATTACAGAGTCATTCTCTTAAAAAGTCCGTCCTCAAAATCGATAATGTTATGAACTAGATTTTCATTGCTTCAATTTAGATTTTTATAGGAGAATTTTCTGATGGTAATTATTTTTTAATGATCAATGGACTGCAGAATATTGAGGAAAAACGACACAGTTATACATACGGACATAAGCAATCGATTAGTGTGACAGTGCCATTGACTATGATGAATATAAAAATAGTATTCAATGAGAGTTATCGAGTTTTTTTTCTGTTATTCGATTACTTGATGAGTTACGTGTTTCATTATCTAACAAAGTTGGACATTGTATTTGAGATTAGGCTTACATTTAATTGTGGAGATAGTGTTGAAACATTGTTTGTGCAGTTAAGGCCTACGAACGACAAGTGAATGTGGCTGTAGAAACGTCATAGAAAATAAGAAGAAATATGTTTATTATATATTGTTAGGTGCACAGAACTTCGCGTTATTTTCACTATGTAATCTAAAAGAACTTGACAAGCGATAGAAGCCCCCCCCCCCGTGGCACAGCTGTACGTTTGCGGACTTACAGCGCTAGAAACAGGGTTTCGATACCCGTGTTGGGTAGACCACAAATAGCCCATTGTGTAGGTTTGTGCTTAACTACAAACAGAAAATTAAAACGATAGAAGAGGATACGCACATCAATATTTTAGTACACTAACATTGTATTTTAATATGTTGACAGTATATTTCAATAAAATAGCAATATATTTCAATGCAATAACAATATGTTACAGTACTCTAACAATATGTTTCAATTCAATAATAACAACTTTCAATGCAATAACAATATGTTACAGTACTCTAACAATATGTTTCAATTCAATAATAACAAATTTCAATGCAATAACAATATGTTACAGTACTCTAACAATATGTTTCAATTCAATAATTTCAATACACTAACTACGTATTCAAATACAATACCAATATATGTCAATATACTAACACCAAATTCCAGCACACTAATGACATATTTCAATACAATAACAACATATTTCAATACACTAGTCACATATTTCAAATATACTAACAACATATTTCAATACACTAATAATATGTTTCACTAAATTAACATCATATTCCAATACACCAATATAATGTTTCAGTAAATTAACATAATATTCCAATACATAATGTTTCAATACAATAACAACATACTTTAATAAGCTAACACCATGTTTAAACCATGTTTATTATATTTCAGTACCAAAACAGCACGATTAAATACACTAAAATCTTATTATAATGCATTCAAGGTACTTTCGAATACACTAACATCATATATTAATACACTAGTTAATACACTAACACAATATTTCAGTATACTAGCACAATATTATAATACACTAGCATTGCATTCTATTATACTATAATCATATTTCAACAGACTAACAATAAGTTTCATTTCACCAACGTCATATTTTCATACACTAACAGCTTAGTTTAATATAATAACATTGTATTTGAATACACTAACAATCACCTTTCATTAGACTAACATCATATTTCAGTGCATTACTCATAGAGCATTTTTAGGACTGTGTTCTGATTTTGATAAACATAAGTTTGTTGTAGAAGTCAACCTAATATGTTATATTTTAATATTTACACTAACATGATACTTTAACTCGCCCAAAATATATTTCAATTCAATAACATTATGTTTCAATTCAATAACATTATGTTTCAATACATTAACAACATATTTCAATAACATATTGTATCAATAATACATTAACAGCATATTTCAATACACTAATATCACATTTGTACCCATTAACACAAAATATGAATACTCTAAAGAGGTATTAAAATACACTAAAACATACATAACAACATATTCCACATAACTAACATTAATATCTCATTATATTTTTAGCTTAAGGTAACTTTTCCTAAACATATTTACAAAATATAATTTTGTGTTAGTATGAATTATTTTCCTATTAGCAATTAAACATTTTTGTATGCATTAAATGTAACTAGAACTATTTATATATGATATATTAAATAGTTATAACTGAAAGTTATAAAATACAATAAATAGGAATATAAGAAAGGTCTGAAATGTATTGATATCGAACTTACTGTAGGAGTTAGTGTTCTTTCGTTAAGCAGTCGTGATATGTAGCTGCAACTAACATGTATCTGACTGTTGTTTCACCTGTAACTGATACCCCGTAACGAGGTACTTTTCATCTGTTTGGAGATAGATTTTAAATTCTTTATTGACTTGTGATAGAGACAAGTTACAACACTTTACATTAATTAGCGTTACTTTATGAGTTACCATCTACTCACCAGAGAAAATATATATCTATATAGATATTTGAAGAACACAGAGCAAGAATATTATTAATTTATCTTTCTATATTATTAAACAGGCAAATTGTCTATCATAAGGCATTTTGAACACAGAAAACCAGAATTGTGAAAGTCAGCGAGACACAAGAGGGAATCCTCAACAGACGCGGCACTTGAAATTCTTTTTGGCAGGATTCGAGTAAAATATTTTATGAGACCTTGAGAGTGGTG